GTGCAATGTCTGAATTCGCGTGATGCCGCAGAGAAACGTGAACGGAAGCAATAATAATGTTAACAACGCGAGAAAACGACCGGTGCGGCAGATGCCTCTCTTTTTTATTTTAGATATTTTGACATAATATGTACATCTATCTAGCCGTTCACGGTTGCCGCTTTGGAACCGAGGTCATTAAACTCCGTGTTACGCTAATACCTACTGATTTGTAAGGTTCTGTTTTCAAAACCAGCCGCTTTAGCAGCGGTACACCCACAGGACATGCAATGCAAACCATTTTACTACCAACTGATGGGAAATTATAATTTCATCACTCCCGGTCGACTCCGTACGACGTCCAATATAATTAATGTATTTTGACAATTTCGCAAATAACTGTACCGAACTGGATCAATTGATGTCTTCTGACGATATCGGATCACAGCTGCTGTCACGCCAATTGTGTTGTATCCAGTCGGTGGGCTTCAGATGCGAGCAATCTGTAATTATTACTGTTGTGGCATAGCTAATACGAAATGATATCATAAACATACTCATATGTGTACGTTTTATGTTAGTCTATGCTCGTTGCACGTACCAAGCAAGACGGTCGGTGCAATGCATCAATGTCCTTGAAGGTTTATCGGCCACAGGTTCAATCCAATTCCGAGGGTCACCCGAGCTCTGTTGCTCCAGGTATGTCGGTGGTACGACGTTTTACTTATTTTTTTTCTCCCCGTCTTTTCTCTCTTGTTAATATTCTCCTTCTTTCTGACGCTGTTTTGTCCCGCGCACAACATTATATATTATATATCAAACTACACCTTTGTGTCCAGGCGCCCGCGTATTTTCTTCCTTATTCCTAACCAGATCCACAGCTAATCGTCTCTTGCCGCAACGTTTACCTCCCGAGTTGTGTGCTACAGGACGTGTATTATTATCATAACTATGCGTATATACTCCACAGCACATGTTGTATAACAAACAAGATTATATCATTTTCGTCGTTTCTTTTTGTGAACGTCCATTAGGTCCCACGCAGTTCAAACACTGACAATGCCCGCAATTAGAAAATCATAATCGCAAAATATCTTAACAGGCAACGGAATTTTTTAAGAAACTTCAGATCAATGCAGTCATTTAGGTCGAAATCCAATGACCATTTTTATGATCATACAAGAAAAACAAAGCGCGACTCTTTTTCTTGCACATTGTTTACACAAAATGTGAATAATTTCTCACAGTAAAGAAGATGTGGCGTCTGCCATTGTTAACAAAGTTCTATATTTACTTGGATGCTCATAAACTAACGTGATAGATATACAACTTGTGTTTAATTTTATTGATTTATATTTTTTAACGTAAAAATAATACTTAGAAAAAAAAACATTTGATTAGATTGAGTAAAAAACAAAACATTTGAGTTACAGTTTAACATTTAGTATTTTAATAGACTAATAAATAGAAAACTATAGTATATTCTTTATTAATTTAATGTGTACACAAAATTTCAAAAAAGATATCCGTTATTACATAATAGATAAGAACATTAAGTAAATCAAAAAAGGTTTGATTAAATTTTACACGTGTTCACTAATCTTAAAGAAGTTAATAGCTCAGCTCTTACAACTTCATATTATAAAAACGAAAACATCAAATCGAATTTTTAATTAGTTTCGTTCATCACTATCCATCAACTGTAAGGACGTTGATGATTTTATGGTCGTCACAATTAAGACTGACGTTAAGAATCTAGTCAAAGCCGATACTAAGAATTTATTTTCATAAAATTCTTATTTTAACATAAGTGACATTTTCCATAAAATAAGTCGATTCTCTAACGCCGAGCAAAATAAATTATCTCAAAAATATATCAAAGCGACAGCACTCAACTATAAGTAGTTAAGGTTTGTGGTCACCTAATTAATTGGTATCAACACGATTTTGATATTTCGACTGTTTACGAGCATGTACTATAATTTTATTGTTTTACTTTCCCACCACATTAAACTACAATACCGTTGTGTGTTTATAACGTCGTGTAAAATAATTTTACGTTAGCACGCGCACGTTATTAGATTACTACACCGAGTGTAGTTGGATGTTTTATTTACTCACTTCCGGCCGATCAATGGGGCGATGTTGCTGGTGAAATACACCTGAGTACGGAATTCGTGTACGATTTAGGACGTGCGGCTATTGGTACACGGCGGGCAACGTTCTTTGAAGTGTCTTCTGGAACAACGCGGAGAGTGCTTTGAACTTGCCGACGTCGGAATGAGACTAATCAGCGTTCAAATGTTATGTCGGCAACGCCATAATATTTTATTTCCAAGAGTACGTCTGCAAAGAATACTGGCAGAATACATTGGAAAAGAGCGTAGGACATCCACTTTAACGGTTCCAAGAGTCCCGAAAATCTTTGTGCGCCGTTTCAGTGTCAACTAATAAGCCTGTCGGGGTTGCTGGAGAACTGCTCGTTAGGACCTCAGTACTGAACTGTTGCAAGGAATTCCCAACCGGTTTTCAACGATTTACAGTAAAACCATTTATTTATTTTACAATCCATTTTTTCGTCCACGACGCATTTTGTTTTGCTAATATTTTAACTGATTACCAGCGCACCGTATGGTAATCACATTTAGCCGAATACATTAACATGATCGGCGATCGATAATTGAGAATGGAAAGTATAATTTTCGTTAATGTCAAAGAAAGACGCTTAAGAAATATTTAAGCGTCTCGTACGGAGCGCATGTTTTTTTGGATCCTATTAAATTTCTCGGTTACAGCCGACCATATCGTGGTCGTTAATTAAAATATTGGATTTATTAAAAAAAAAAAACCTATTCCGCGTTTATTTCTGTTATTAACTCGAGACGTGTCGAATGACAGCAGTGTTATTATACACCGATCATTTGCTCGGGAGAGGCCGAGTTTTCACGACCACTTCCCCTTTAAAGATTTACTGGTGAAGAAAAAGAACATATTTACGAGCGACGGCTAGTGTCACGTGTGTAACTCACAAATACAGAGATGATATTGGGTTACGTCGTTCGAATGTAAACTAGTGATTCGGACGTGCCCGTCGCCGTTGTGTCGTTTTACACCGGCAAAAAGGCATTGTTCCACTAATCGACCGGTGATCAATAGTTGTTTTTAAACGAAAATAACATTTATACAGTTAAATAAGTTACTGTTTTGTTTCAGCCGTGCAGACGACAAAAATTGTTGTCCGGAAAACGTATTGAACTTTTTTTAATGAACATTTTCAATAATTATTAACGGAATTTCTCGGTTAAAAATACATTGGGTTTTTTCTACTAATTTACGCTCGACTCGGACGAGCCGCAAAAAAATGTAAAAACTGATTGTAGTTACTTCGTATCACGTTTGGTCATTAACTCGGTGCGACGATTCTATTCGCACGCTCCGAGAGAAAATTGACAGTTTATTTGACTTACGGCCGTACGATTAGTTAATACACCCACCTCATATTATTTTCGTTGGTTATTGGCCGTAGCCCAAACGTTTTCATTGTTATACAGCCAAAGTTCACAGATAACCGGAACCAGCACTCGTAAGCTCCTTACAAGTGTAATACTAAATTAGTGACGGCAGAGATGATATTTATACTATAATTGACACTGAATTTTTTAGAACATATTACGATGTGGTCCTAATGACTGCAAAAACATCATAGTATACGTCGGCTGCAGTAGTTGTTTCTAATGATCGCAGATTTTTTGATGTGTTTTCAAACAATCGAGGTAAGACTCTTAGAAATTCGTTAAATTTCAAAGACGTTGCAGCACTAGAGACAGTACTCACGATAAATGTCACCGTATATAGATAAATAAAGCAAAACATTGGAATCTTCTGCCAAAATAAATTGTTCATTAATATACAACAAAACATACGTTTCCGCTTGTCAAACTGTGATATTCTTATGTGTTTATAAAATATTTGCTTATAACCATAAACCACGAATAATCACCGTGTATTTTCACCTTGAATTGAATTAACAGAGTATTATTAATACATTTGAGATTTTGACTCGTGTAAATACTTATTCATTGCCTTTACTGCGAATTTTGTGTTGGGTTTATTTTCAAATGGGTATCGAACACTTAATACCATTTAACAATGTTTGCCCAAATTATCTCAACTTCCAAAACTCCTAATAGATAACAATTATAACGGTACCTACAAGGTTTGTATCGGCAACAGTCAAAGGTAAAAACCCATGACTGTCGCAAACAAGGTTAAGTGAAATTAACAATGAGATACCTCTCGGAAATTTCATGTCCTCGAAGTTTTTATTTCTGAAAAATGTATTGGCTTATATAAATATAGAGAAACTTTGTCACAAATATTTTAAAAGACATTATTTATTATCATCATGTACATCTTCAAAGACTGTATATACGAATAAGCATAAGAATTTTTTATTTTATTTTTACGACTTCAGTCGTTTAGCGGAAGTTTTTCATGAATAAACGAGCACATTCATTCGGAGAACAAACTGATAACATAAAAAATATTTAGGATGACTAAATGTATAAGTCATTACTATGACTTTTACATGACATAAGCCCATATGTCTATCAATCTAAATATATTTTTTAATTGTTAAATTACACTGATAATGTTACTATTGTTATTAACAATAATAATATTTAATTATAACAAAGTGTTATAAAAAAAAAAATTTGCAAAAATAATTTTCAACCAATTTTGAATAATCAACAAGTGGTTACAAATGTATTTTAGCTATATTATTATTTCAGTTATACTTAAAAATAGTTTCATAAAAATAAAAATTTTTATTTAATTTTAGGTTTATTATATTTACTTTATCATATATAATATATTGTAGACTATAATTTTACAATTGTTCACAAAATAGTATATCTCTACAATGAGTTAAATTAAACTTTTAAGTAAACAGTATTACTATGGTTAGTTTTACCATAAAGACTTAACCACAGTTAGATAATAGTTGCAATAAAACTTTATTTGCTATTAATATTGCTCATAAATAAGTAAAAATCTAATAATTACAACAATAACTAGAAGTCACTTTACTTTATTTCAATTAATTTTGACAAAATCTGATAACAAAGTAATTATAACAGTAATGTTTAACATTTCTCTAAATGGAAAGTATTTTCATCGTCAGCTTGCAAACCATTTTTTTAACAATGATAGTAAACATAACACAATGATGAAACAATTTTTAAAATCGGGTAACTGTAGAAAATAACTTCCTTTGCATTATCTTGAATTTAAATTCCATAACAGCTGGTAATTCTTTATGGATTATACAATGAACCTTATTCTTTTACTTCGAATATATTTAGAGTGTTTTGAATATCTTATAGACACATGGTACGGCACACCCCAAATATTTACGATGTTTCATATTCATTAACGTTGAGACTTATTGCCAATGACAAGGACGTTGTTTTACTAGAGAAAATGGAATAAAAATCACATTTAAATAACCAACCGGTTCACTCAATTTTATATGATTATCATAAATTGTGGACTACCTTATTTGCGGTCACTGGATTTGTATACATTACACACATCCTTCGGCAAAGTCAGTTAAGGTTGTGTTATAATATTATGTGAGAAGTTCGCAGTCGAATACTAGAAACGGTTCCAGAGGTATCCGAAACGAATCGGTTTTTACTGTTAAAAAAAACAAATTATGAATAATCACGAACTTACATAAAATGCAAATATGCTACTTAACAACTACTGCGGCCGTTATCCAAGANTCGAAACGAATCGGTTTGTACTGTTAAAAAAAAACAAATTATGAATAATCACGAACTTACATAAAATGCAAATATGCTACTTAACAACTACTGCGGCCGTTATCCAAGAACGTATCTTATCTTCAAACCGATTTTATTTCCCTACTATTTTCTAAACGGTTAATTTTGTTTTACTTATATTGAAAGCCAATCCGAGGAACAAATAGTAAATGGTTTTTTTTTTTTTTTACTAGGACATTCTGCTTTAAAAATTCCATTATTTTTCAACGCGCATTATTTTTTTTCAAAATGTTTAAAAAACATACTGGAAATCTTATGAAAATCACGAACAGGACATAACGTTGTTGGCAATGAATAATTCTTTGATCCGGAGGTGTCTCCAAACAGAGCCCGTTGAAAAAGCTCTAGTCAAAGACTGTTCTCGGTGAAAACGCAAGTAACATCCAGTCACCGAGCGTAAAGCATCGTCAGGCCACACGAAGGGAAAATTGCCAGTAGTGGAACAGCCAACGGTGGCATATTACTACACGCGCGCGCCTTGTTAAATTGTGGCGGTGGCCGTGTCACAAGGTCAACTTGGCGGCCGCGCATGATGAATTACCTCCATCACTCTCACTGGTTCCGCCGTCGCCCAACACTAGAAACATTCACTCGCACGATGACCATATACCAGTTTAGAAAACGAGAACGGTCGTGTTTGTGCGGAACACCTAATACTTCCGGTTAGTGACACTGCACAACACGTCGCTCGTTGTAACCGAACGTGCAGTACCCAACTCCTCCGCTGTTATGGCAGTAATGGGAACGCAGGCAGAAGTCCGCTGCCGAACCCGAAGGGGTAGTTCGTTTACAATAAAAATTGGTACCGTAGTGTGCCATTGATGTTGCTAAACAATCCCATTGATATCTCCTCCGAAGCAGCTGTTTTGTAGTGTATGCTTGTCGATAAAAAAATTAACGTTCCTCCAGAAATCCGAACAAAGTGTAATGACGCCGAACTATTTTCTAGTGTAATTAGTAATCGAGGTCACAGTAACGGTGACGACGTTCGCAGATTCGTACAATTTTTATATTATATATGTTAAACGATATCTAATTATGTAATCCAAATTTAAGTATTCGGAACGATCTAATTAATATTACGTTTTTATATACTATTCGGTATGACCACTGTAAATTCATTGCACTGAACAATCGTTCAACGTATCGAAAACAAACATATTGTATGGTTTGTAAGTAGCGATTTAAACAAATTTCATCAGTTAACGCCTTGTCGTTACCAACACATAAATAATAAAGCGATAACGTAGTGAGTAACATGAGCCGACAACGTGTTTTGTTGCCTTGGGCTGATATTCTGTGACTAGTAACACTGCTAATATAAAACTATTACTATTAACGCTATCACACCACGACTACTACTACTGGTATTACTGCTGATATCTTAGGCACGTGCAAAACTAAAGAATTTTTTAACACATTGCAGTGACGCCAAAACCTATTATGTCGCGTCCATAATTGTAAAATAAACTCATATTTGATAGGTATTCATTTTTCCCCGTGTTTATCCAGTTTTCTTTCTATAAGATTCCGTAGACGTTTACAAGAATTTTTTAAGTTTTGTTACGACCTTCTACAGTTCATTTCCTTACATTACATGTCGTTCTTTTAATTTTTGAAGTTTATTATTTTTTTTTCTACTTTTTTTGCGCATGTTGACACGAATACGAATTAATCATAAATTTAAAGTCTAATATAAATCTTGGAATTGATAAATAGTCTCTGAAATGATGATTAATAATTGAATTTTAAAATTAATATTTACCAATGTACTTTTTTTACTCTTTCGTAAACCTAATTACAATCATAAATTTGTCTGAGATGTATGACCAAATTTAAAAATGGTAAAAATAGCAATAAAATTCGATAAGACCTGAACAGCTAAACCTTTTTTTGGTGAGCGGTATAACGACCGATAACCAAACAGAATAAATAGCAACTGCTTTTCATCATTTTTATAGTTCAAAGGGTCATCCAACTACGTATCGAACCTGTCACTATTAATTTCCCTATAGCCTATGACAACTACAGAAATCGATATGTCCGTAAACACCCTCGCCAATCGGCGAATGTACATTTTGCTCAATAAAAAATAAGTGATCCGTGTTTTAAACATGCTCTGTGATACCAAAACAGTAGACATTGCTAACGATACGTAATGTTTCTTTAGTACTGTGTAAACATTTTTTCGAGTCAACTAACCAATGTAAAAGAGTATAGTGTGTAACACTCGTTATTAAACTACTATGAAAAACTACTATTTTACTACCCACAAATCTAATTGACAACTAAAACATTCATACAGTTAATAATGTTTAATTTAAATAATCGCAAAAATATTTTTTAACATTTTCAATTTAAGTTTAATCAAGTCTGTATGACAGTCAATAATACTGTATAATTTTTTTCTGATATAATGTCCACAAATGACAATAATTTTCATAACTCGTATTAATTATAATCGATGACTATAATGAACACACTTATAGTTTTATCGTTAAACAATAAACTTCTTAACACCGTTTAAATTAATTACTATTGTAATTTTATAGTTTGTTTGTTTGAGATTAGATTAGTTCAGTATTTTACTACTTGTGTACATTATTTCAGAATATTCACACTAACTCATTGTAAAAAACATTTCTTGTTTTTGTTACTAGCAAAACGAAATGCGTTTATTGTTTACGAATTAACCTACTTTAAAGACTCGGTGTTCTACATCCTTTAGCATAAAATTATTAAAAATGTTGCATTAATGTTTAATTAAAAACTTCCAAAAGTATTGAAATCAAGTCGCGTAACGTCCATTAATAATTATATAACATTACATCTATAGAAAATTCAAAATATACAATTTTTGACTCTGAACGTTCAAACATTTAATACTCAACAAAAATTGTAAGATTTGTGTCTGTGAATACCACAAACATTAATTGAAATTTGCATACATAAAATATAAATATTAATTTTTAAATTAAACATGTGGATGTAAACACATTTTCGAATAACTTTACCAGTTCATTTGAAAGTTAGCAACGCAATGTTTGATGTCCCAATAAAAAATATGTCCGAACCTCATGTTATGCTTACAATTTACACGTTTTTGTTTACAACAGATTAATAGAGTAAACCTCGTTTGTGTACAATAAATAACGACTTTCATAAATTATAAAACCTAATTAACGTTTAGTCGGTCCACTTTTTAATTTACTATAATATTGAACATATTAAGCTATCTAATATATTTAAATTATCGTATAATAATAGTACTTATTATTAGATCATAATTTCTTGAGTAATTATATTGCTATATAATTTAGCGTGAAGCCAATAAAAACATTACAATTTGATTGTGTACTTCAACTAATCAAGTCGTTAAAATTATTAAAACTATTATCATTGTCTTTAAAAAAAAAAAAAAGTTTTATTAGCGTTTTTTTTTTTTATTGGAGATCATTGTACAAGTTCATTAGTTGAAATTTCATAAGATTTACAACTTATCATATCGAATTATTTGTATTTCGTTTCAATGGAAACTAAAACATTGCTTTTGTGTTTATCCAAAATATGAAATTCAAGTATTATACGAATTATATAACATACTTGTAATGTGCTGCGTAGTAATTTATTTATTTAAGTATTTCCTAGTAAAATATTTTATTTAAGTTAACTAATTATTTAAATAACAGCTTGTATACATAATTATATGATAATAATTTGTGTCTAATTATACAAAAAATATTGTAATTATAATTACGATATTTTTTCAATATATTAACAAGTTAAAAAATATTTACAACTCTATGTATTTTTACAATTTTAACAAAGTAATTTTTATATATTTGATGTTTTTAATTTATTAAATATTAATAAATTATTAATGCTATTAATAATTCTTAATATGATTTATTTGGAAAAGGAAAACATGTCCCTATTTTCTAATATCGTAGAATCTTGATCGATTTAAAACGAATATAATATGATAATTATGAAAAAAACCAACGTATTAAAATTGTATTGTAAAATATGTTTGAACGAGTAAAATATTTTGAAACACTGTACACTTTTGCCAAAAGTATTAATGAAGATATGTACCGAGGCGTAGGCCATTAAATTTTTACTTAATTTTGGCCTTTTTAGAAAAATCTTTTGGTTTGTTCCGAAGAGATAGTTTTTAATGATAATTATATTTCATTACTGTATTAATGGATAATTATCTATTATAACCAGAAACACTATTATTGCAAAGAAACATTCAACAACAGAGTAGGCAAGTGGGGCGCAGAGACATTAGCTGAACTCGTAAATCTCGTGTACATGAAATATTGTACTTTTATGTTCAAACTCGATGTTATAATTTGTCGACAATTCACCACACAGTATATATTTGAAAAATGGCGTTTTACACATTACACCTTTGAAAAGAGTTGCAAATCGTATTGGAAAAAATTTGGATAACCGACGGCCTTGTCGTAAAACAAAATACAGAAAGACTGTCAAATTACTTTGCGAGTGGACATCGCGGTAGAATGTAAACTGCTTGAAAACAACTTTCGATTTTTGTTGGGTAACGAGCGCTACGTTCGAATTGGCCAAACTTATTTATTGACATATTGACTTTAGGTATAAGGCATATGCTTTTTTTCGGATAATCAATCTGTGCCGGCCAAACGACACACGAATTGTATGCCACACAGAAATATCATTTATGTAATCTGTTAACTCCGCTGCTGTTCGTCTGCAGGTAAGTAATTCCAAGCCGGCCGACGGAATAATATTATGGTGAACTCGTACGCTGATTGGAGTCGCGCGGAACGAGTAATTAAATAACTTTGGTCTTCGGAGAAAAACGGCCGTCTTATTGTCAGGCGAACCGGATAAACGAACGGACTTTTATTGCGTAAAAGGTCCGGCGAAAAAGCGCTCAATATAAACGATCATCATTAGCCGACGGAAAATGACACACACACACACACAAGTCATGTTCGAATTAGCCCCGTCGTCGTAACAGTTGTTATTATTATTATTATTTTGTTTCGCTCGTGAAATATGACTGCGCCGATTTATTATGTTATTTCATTTCACGATTATTGTCATTATGTTAACGTCAATTCAATTGCGTTGCGGCGACGGGCAAGCCGTTAACCGGAGTGCACACGGATGGGTGGGGGCAACCTTGCGGAGGGGAAGGAGCAAACGGAGAAAAAGAGAGAGCCCTTGGCCTCGTTTTGGGAACGCGTGCGCTTGACACTCGAAACTTGGCCGCACGCTCCACATTCCGTCGCGGAGCCATGAGGAGGTCCTGTTAAAACACTTGTAAATCGACCATCGGGCACAATGGCGCATAAAAAACGTACGCTCAAAGGCTGGCCGGCCGTGTACGAGAGGGGAGGTTTGTCGGCGGTTTTTTGGTGGCCGTTAACGCGGCCGGTCTAGCGCGACACACAAATATGTCGGCGATACACAGTCGTTTCCCTCCCCTCCCCCCAGTGACAACCCTCCCCACCGGTCTGTCCGATCACAACAACGATGACGTGCCGCGGTAATTGCGCAACGACTCTCGAACTAATTACCGCCGACACTCGCAAACAATTATTGTTACGCTGTTGATCAGTAAATACAAATTAGAAGCCCTTCGTAGGTCAACAATTAATCGCACTGCCTTAACTCGTGTTGACACATCTGCAATTGATATGATTGCTGTTTGAAGCTCCGAATGTCTAATTGATTGAAGTCTATTGGTTCCTGTGGCATGAAAATCGTTGGTTTTCAATAACCAACCGCTCATTAAAATAATAAAGATATTTGAAAAACTATTTCGACAAAACGAAATGCAAAAAACTTTTGCGCGCGAGAAAAGGCACGCTAAAGTTTTTATTTATTTATTTACTTTTTAACTTGTTTCCATTCCGTATACAGTTCGAAACAAATTGTAATATCAATTCACTATGGAGGATTTTCCTAAAGATTTTCCGATAAAACGCTTTTCTCAAAAAAAAAAACATTTACCAGCAAAAACTCTCCGAGACTATCAATGATTTGCAAACGTATTTTCTATATTTTTACATTTGCTTTGATAGTAATATTGTTAACATAAATAACGCCTGAAAAAGTACAACACTAAACAAATTTTTCCATAGTATTCTCCACAAACACATTAACATAACCTATAAGATTATCACGGTATGCTTTTTCAAAACAAAAAACCACAATCGTATCAATACTAATTGTCGGAACGTTACTTGGCGACATTTCTAACGAATTAAAAGCATTAACTCGTGACACTTCACATTCGTTTAAAATCAAATAAAACATCCTTCGATAACTCAAACAATTTTTTTCATACGTGTCCTTGAATTATGCTTAACTAGATTTTAAATAGGTCATAATATAATTTAACATAAAAATTTCAAGTGTGTTTGTCGAGTATATGTTACTAAGGAAAAGAAAACAGTTTGTGTTTAAACGTATTTTAAAAACTTAAAAATCCATTTTGTTAAAACGTTAAGACACTGCAACAAACATATACTACTCGCTAAAATAAAATTCTTTAAACTTAATGACCAATTCTTTTAAAACTTTATTTATTTTCACTAATTATATTTTATGCATTAAAACCATACAACTATTTAGTACAATCATAAACTTATTGTTAGTAAGGTCTTGGACGAAAATAGTAACTAAAAACTTATAAGCTACAAGATAAAAAAATATATGAAAA